GTATTTTGATTGGGTACCGAGAATGTTAACCGACGAGCAAAAAAAGAAACGAGTCGACATTTCGAGGGTGAATCTTCAAAAGTTCCAGGCCGATAAAGAATTTTTTTTGTCGCGTTTTGTGACCATGGACGAGACCTGGATCCACCACTTTGATCCCGAAACCAAACAACAATCAATGACTTGGAAACGAGCTTCCTCACCAACGCCGAAGAAATTCAAAGTGTCAAGTTCAGCGGGAAAGGTTATGGCGTCTGTTTTCTGGGATGCAGAAGGAATTATTATGGTGGAATATTTGGAAAAGGGGGCCACTATAACAGGCTCTTACTACGCAGGCCAAATAAGAAGATTGCGAGAAGCTATTAAGTCAAAAAGACGCGGTAAACTGCGCGCTGGAGTGCTGTTTCACCAAGACAACGCTCCGGCTCACAAAGCCGCAGTTGCGATGGCTGCCATTGAAGAAACGGGGTTCGAACTGCTCGAACACCCTCCCTATTCGGTGTGCGTTACCCCAGCAAAATAATGTCGAAAATGGTCATTTAAACTCTATAGATAATTAGTTGCTCCCCTTCTGTAATTGTTAAGCACATTTTTAAATTTGTTTCACTTAAACTTTTTTAGTTATTTCAAAAAAACATTTCCTGCTGGAGTAACGTTTGAAACGTTACCGCAGCCAGACATTTTCTTTTTAAATTGTAATATTGAAATAAATTTTAGCTAAATAATTAGTTATCTGGACTAGGTAAATGTTACAACTTATTTGGTATTTGTATTTTCTTCGGCTGCGAAGTTATTCGAAATCCTGCTGGAGTAACGTTTGTGGGTTTGCTGGATCTCTGAAACGGGTAAGCGGATTGTAACCATCTTTTGTACATAACTTCTTAAGGATAAGTTTTAATTTGTTCGACAATAAAATAACAAAAATAATGGACCGTTTAAAAATTATTTAGGTAAGTATGAAAACACTTCAATACGTCCTAACACTTTAAATAAGACCTCTAAAGACTTACTTGAAACGTTATGCTATTGCTTGTAACTACCTTCAAATGTATACGAATTTTCGTAAGAATACTGTAAGTGACTAAAAAGTTATGATGAAATGTAGCTCTCCACGTTCACGATCACAATGTGTGCGGCCTTTTTTGGCCACCGATAAACCTGTGTGTGGATATATAAACTGAATGTTATGCCAGTAATTAGTTGTTTAGTTCAGTTGTCTACCTGTAAAATTTCAGCGTAGTACATATAATAATTTACGAGATAATTAAATAAAAGTCATTAGAAGGTGCAAGACCGTGGTAACCCGACCATGTTTAGGTGGTTACAAAAAAGCGATCACCCAGTACATTGTGCTGGCTTTTAAAATATGTAGGATATTATTTGCAAGTTTACTACGGATATGTACATAAGTGTTACAAAAAACTACATGTTTTTTAAATATTTTTTATTTAGGATTGTTTATTGCATAATTAGTAATCAGCCGGGAGATTAGGTATTGTTTTGAATGCTTTTGTTTTCTCGTAATGTTTAGGTGAATTGTTTATAGTTGTTCATAGAATTGGTACCTGCGTAGTATTTGTTAATTGAAGTTTAATTTTAGGGTAGGTATAGGTAATTTAAGAAATACGAAATGAAATGATAAGTTTTGAAGAGTGTAACGTATGCGTTGTAAATAGGTATTTTGTGAATAGATGGGGATTTTTTAAGTGATGAATCGACTTAGGCTAGCATATCGCGAACAAACTCTGTATTGCATTATTTCTGTAATAATGTTGGAGAAAATAAAATAGTTAAATTATAATAAAATAAATTATTTATGTAAAATTAGTAATAAGTGATATACCTACCTAAAAGTTATGATCGTTTTTAATTTGTTCACCCTGAACGAAATTTTAATATTAGCATTAGTAATTAATATCCTAAGACAAGAATTGACAATTACTTAAATTGAATCGAATTAGCAATAATGCCTATTATTAGTAATTAGGTACACACATATTGAAGAACTCTCAAGAATACGATAAATATTTGCAAAAATAGAAAGCGGAAGCGCACACGTACTTTACAACACGTATATTATCTGCCTAAGGGTCAAGTTTAGTGCACTAGATGCAAATTGCAAATAATGAAGTATCCCTTCGCCCCTCCCCTCCCGCGTTCTAGCGAAGGATGTATTATCAGCGATTCTTGATTGACAAATATTTTCTGACCAATAATTTTATCTATAAAAATGTATCACTTTCACTCGATAAATTAAATTACCGTTATTATATCAAAATATCATTCAACAACTGTTCGTTTTTAACAGAAATCAACAGTCACGGGCTCAACGCTTAACGGTAGGTACATAGGTATAGATAATTCTCGGTTCTAGGTATAGACCACAGAACAATATTACCTATACAATATATTACGACTGTTGGGCGATGCAATGTTGATGCATTCTAATTTACAACTGTATTCTTCTACTATTCGGTCTATTTTAACTTATTGTAGATGACTTGTTGCTTTAAATATTTTGATGCATTCAAGTCTAAGCTCTATACACCCCAAAATAAAATACAATTACTTTAGTGTTATTTCTTTACAAAAAAAATCAAAGAAATGAAACGATTTCTTATTGGTTTAAATTTTCGATTTATTGCAGTCAGGTGAATCGTTCATACATGTATCTACATATTTATAATTTTAGCGGACCAGTGCAGATTTTCTGTTGATTGTAGCTCCGGTGGTAAAAAAGACTAAATAAATTTTAAGTAAAGAAACTAGTGCTTAAGATCAATTAGGGATAAAACAAAATAAATAATAGGTAATAATAATGAATAAATATTGAATGTATTTAACACTGTACGCAACTGTACCGAAATCGTAAGGTGTATTACACTAAACATTTTAAAAGCCAGCGCAATGTACTGGGTGATCGCTTTTTTGTAACCACCTAAACATGGTCGGATTACCACGGACTTGCACCTTCTAATGACTTTTATTTAATTATCTCGTAAACTATTATATGTAAGACGCTGAAATTCTACAGGTAGACAACTGAACTAATTAACTAATTACTGGCATAACATTCAGTTTATATATCCACACACAGGTTTATCGGTGGCCAAAAAAGGCCGCACACATTGTGATCGTGAACGTGGAGAGCTACATTTCATCATAACTTTTTAGTCACTTACAGTATTCTTACGAAAATTCGTATACATTTGAAGGTAGTTACAAGCAATAGAATAACGTTTCAAGTAAGTCTTTAGAGGTCTTATTTAAAGTGTTAGGACGTATTGAAGTGTTTTCATACTTACCTAAATAATTTTTGAACGGTCCATTATTTTTGTCATTTTATTGTCAAACAAATTAAAACTAATCCTTAAGAAGTTATGTACAAAAGATGGTTACAATCCGCTTACCCGTTTCAGAGATCCAGCAAACCCACAAACGTTACTCCAGCAGGATTTCGAATAACTTCGCAGCCGAAGAAAATACAAATACCAAATAAGTTGTAACATTTACCTAGTCCAGATAACTAATTATTTAGCTAAAATTTTCTTCAATATTACAATTAAAAAGGAAAATGTCTGGCTGCGGTAACGTTTCAAACGTTACCCCAGCAGGAAATGTTTTTTTGAAATAACTAAAAAAGTTTAAGTGAAACAAATTTAAAAATGTGCCTAACAATTACAGAAGGGGAGCAACTAATTATCTATAACGTTTAAATGACCATTTTCGACATTATTTTGCTGGGGTAACGCACACCCCTATTCGCCAGATCTAGCTCCCAGTGACTTCTACCTCTTTCCTCGGCTCAAAGAACACCTCCGGGGCAACAAATTTGAGGACAATAGTGAAGTGATGGCCGCAGTAGAGGCATTTTGGGAGGGTCAAGACAAAGAATTTTTTTCTAAGGGAATCATGGGCTTAGAAAAAAGATACACTAAATGTATTAACTTGCAAGGAGACTATGTTGAAAAATAAAATACTTTTTTTAATCTAATAGTTCTGTTTCATATTGATTATCATTACTTATTGATCACCCCTCGTATAAGTATGTTTATCAGCAGTCTAGTTGCAATAGTAAAGGCTCAGCCCAATTTGGGATCAGACAATAGTTTTAATATGCAGAGAAAAGACATTTAGTTATAAATTACCTTTATTTTTCATACTAATAAAAAGTTATTTTTTTGATTTTCAGTACAACATAAATTCTTTATTTTTACACATTTCTAGTAACCATGCAATTTTTTTTATTTTCTACACACAGAAAAGAACTACATACATATTTTCTTACAATCTATTAACATTATCACAGTAATTTGCAGCTTAAAAACTATAATTTAAACATGTGCTGCATATATTTTATACTGTAAAATCGAGACAAAACCCTTTCTTTCTGAAGTATGCTATGATTATTTGAAGGTTGTATCAATCAATCTAACCACCTATGCTTTAAATCTTAAAATAATGGTACTTCGGTCGAGTTTAAGTTCCATATCCTCAATGCGAAAGTTTCGAGGCAACAAAACGACATATTTTGGACCATTTAATGCTCTGTCATAATTCCCTGTACTAATACCTCCATTCCCATCAACAACTCACTCTAATAATATTAATTAACACAAAAGCGTAGCATAGATTTTCTTTAAATCTATATCCATCTCCGCTTCATCTAGCATTCTAAGAAATGTTTTAAAACAAAAAATTACTTTTAAGTCAAAATTATGTTTTAAGCATTGTTTTTTGACGAAAGGCAGCAGTTATTATTTTAAAGATTCAATATTGTACTTCAGTAGTAATTTTACATTTCTAATAAAAACAGTTATCTGCGAGTGGGAATTCTTGTAAAATATTTATTTAGTTATTTAAAGGTTTCAAAATCAAGTGGCGGCCCCTTAGCACATGCAGTGTGTACCACGCGGCACTCCCCATCGTCTGTGGTGTAGATGTGTAGCAAGAAGCGGCCATTGTCCCTAGCTGCAGTGTGTGGTGTGGGTGTGCCGAGGTCCCTACCGCCTGCGACGGCGCGGCTTGGGGGGCGGTGCGACAGTAACACGCGCGTCCTGCAGCTCAGCGGAGAGCGAGTGGCTGGCTGCGCCGGCCTGCTCGAGCTGGCCGCGTGCCTCTACGAAGAACATCACGTCCCGCAGTTGCTCTTTCAGCTCCGCCACCTGTGTGATGTTCACGACGTTTAAATAAGATAACTTCATAGGGGCCTCCATAAATTACGTGAGGTGTTTTTTTTTTATTTTCTGTCCCCCCCCCCCCCCCCTGAGATGTCGTGAGATTTTATTCAACCCCCTCCCCCATCCCCCAATCTCACGTGAGATTTTTCAAAATGTGGGTTTCTTACGTAAACGCGTTGGATTATTATTGTAAAAAGAAAAATAAATTTGCTTCGTGCTTTTATTTACGACTAGTTAAGACTAGTAATCAATATTGCTGAGAGTTATGTGTAATAAAAATTTAACAATAGAATACTTAAATCGTGACTACTGTGATTAAAAAAAAGAATATCTACTCTAATTCAGACCATGGAGAATCATGCGCGGTCTCAAGAGAGACTATTGGAACCAACATGTCTATTTGATTTTCAGTAAAATCATCTGCTCCTTCAACTTCGTTCTGATCTAGCCACTCTAAGCCGTTGGCGCTTGCGCATAGTAACTCATTAGCTCGTCTTGTGACAATCCGTGAGGGTCGCACTTTGCAGAACATACGCGCTTGCTTAGCTGGTGCAATGTGGGCTGCTCGCCAAAACATTTACAAGAATAAACAAAGCAGGTTGGAACCTGTCCGTGTGTCGCTGCCACTCAGCTCGTACGCTCTCGTTCATCGAGTCGTGCTTTCGGCTGACAGTGGCTCAAAAACAATGAACGAGCTACACTGTACCGTAAATTCAGATTAAATTGAGCTATTTGGTATAAAACAAATATGATGGTTTGACAGTCAGTAGATATATAACGTCGAAGTATGAATAAAATTATTTTCTTTCGAACGAATTAGTGAATGATCTTAATCGTATTACGATATACGCTTAAGATTAAATCTTAAGCATGTACAATCTGGATTAAATGGACCAAAATAGTATATCTTTTTGTTTCAATCAGAAAAAAGATTAGATGAGATTTGACTCGACCGATCCCCCCCTTAAACATCTCACGTAATTTATGCCCCCCCTAGGAATTCGCATTTGATGTTTAATATTAGTCAGGTCAACGGGAAACGTTACTTTGTCCTGAAACTTGTTATTTTCCGTTACACGCAAGTCATGTTTTCTCTAAATACACATTTAGTTGTTATTACTATATCTATATTTCTAAAAAGCTTGTGCAAAAAGTTATTGTAATTTTGTAAATTTTAAGGTTCAAATTACTTATTGCAACTGAGGAATATCAATTAGTAAAACATAATTTTCAGTGCATTTATTTAAAAAATCCAAAATAGGAGAAATAAACAATTTGGGATCTATCAAAAGCTTAAGATTATGTTGACCATTACGTTCATACCATATCAAGTGACATTAAATGTAAGGCTCCTACAGGGATCTATTCTAGGTCCTTTAAAGCATTGCAGTATTAAAGTTTATTTAGGAAGGTAGTAATACGAGCCACACTATGCATTTCTCGTATCATGCTATTAGGTATACTTTGAGCTGTGTCAGCACTTTATTCATTTATTAAATCATTCTTTAGTTCGCGTTCATATTCGACTATCAATTGACGTGTCGCGGCTCACATAAATCATTATCATTAATATCATTTTTGTCTTTCAAAGTCAGTTAAATTTATCCCTGAGTTTACTGATTTATCCTATAACTTAAAACCCTGGTGTACAGACCGTACAGTAGTCCACAGATGAAAATAAACCTTGTGTAATTTGAAAATATGATTTACCTCCTTGACAAATTTTTCTTCCTGTAGTTTGGCTCTAGCTTGCCATTCCGCTTGACTGTTCGCTAAAGCGGCGGCTAGTCCCCTTTCTTCTGACAATTCGTTTTGTAAAGTCGACAACCTAAAAATAAAGCAAAATATTTATAGTTTTCTTTCTTTATTGTTAAGTTAGAACGAGGTTTACGCTAACACTTTTATTTTACTGTTAAAGTTGTGATCCACATTTTTTTAAATAAGATGCTGATAAGGCTTCGTCACAGAATGTCCCCTAGTCGCAAAATGTCTGTTTGATTATCTAAAACTCTAAATGATTTAAATGGGATTTTGCGAAAAGGACATTACTAATAATACTAAGCTTATACATGTTATACACGGCCGTCTGATCCTAAACTAGGCCGAGCTTGTACTATGGTAACCAGACATTTAGAGAAATTTTTAAAATTGTACAGGTAAAATTATGAAATAACATCAAAATACTTAAAAACATTGAATTGATGACTAATATGCTATAAAATTACGAGTACATTACATTGCAATTGAAATATCAAAAATCATATTAAAAATAATTACTACACTAATGCATTTCTGAAGTGATATGACTGAGTAGAGTACTTTTAAAAAAATCATTGACGGAGTAAAAGCACTCTGCTATTAGCCAATTTTTTAATGTAGTACAAAATCTGTGATAAGGAAGAGTTGCAATATTCTCCGGCAACGCGTTATAGATAAGTGGTGCCATGTAAACACAGCTCACCCTAAAAATTTCTAGGCCAGGTACTGGTAATTTAAAATACAAGTGAGTATTTTTACGTTTGTTGGTATTGTCCTCCTGGTATTGTATTAGCTCTTTATTGCACTTCACGAATTTAGCTACTTCATAGATGAATATGCCAGGGAAGGTCAACAGATTATGAGATACAAAAACAGGCTTGCATGAATCTGTCCATTTCAAACCGAATATTGCACGAAGCGATTTCTTTTGCGCTAAAAATACTCGTGTTATTTCTGATGAGTGGGTTACTCATACATCAAACAATAATGCCGTATCGAATTATGGAGCAAACATATGCATGGTAGACCATTAAAGCAGTCTCCCTTGAAGCAACCTCTTTGACTTTTTTTAATGTAAACACAAACTTATTCATCTTTTTGCAAACGTTTTCTATGTGATACTTCCACGTCAGATGTTCGTCCACTGTAACACCTAGAAATTTTGTGCTCTGTATTTGTTCTATTTCTTGATCATTAAATTTAACTGAAATATCGAATTGTTTTGTTTTTACTGTTCTGAAATGAATAAGTTTTGTTTTATCTATATTAATTTTTAAATGATTCGTAGCAAGCCATTTGATGATATTCTGAAGTGTCTCATTTACTTCATGTTCACATGAATTTAAATTATTACCACTTATTAACACTGTAGTATCGTCTGCAAATAGCACAGATTTGCGATTTTGCATAGCTTGAGGGAGATCATTGATGTAAATAAGAAAAGTAATGGGTCCAAAATATTCCCTTGCGGTACTCCGTAATAATTAAACCTAGGTTCCGAATCGAAATATTGTAAACAATTAGTGCCACTATTGAATTTGGTTATTCTTGTAATTTGTCTTCGCTTGCTTAAATATGAATCCATCCATTGTAAGGCTATACCTCTTACGCCAGTTTTATCTAGTTTTTGAATTAGTACGTCGTGACTCACAAAATCAAACGCTTTGCTTAATTCTAAAAATATAACGAAAGATGGTATTTTTTTTATTTATGTTGTTAATTATAGAATTTATTAGAGAAAATATTGCATCTTGAGTAGATCATACACATTATAGATACATTCTGGATGTAATTTACACAGAACAGATGATGATACTCATTACCCAATTATGTGATATAACTGACTCGATTATATAAAAATGTAACTGACTTGTTGGTGAGCTGCTGCAGCTTCTTCTCCAAGTGCGCGTTGTCCCGTGTGAGCGCGGCCACTCGCGCGCCGAGCTGCGCGGCGCTGCCCTCTGCGCCCTCGGCGCGCGCGCACAGCCCCGCGCTCTCCGCGCGCTGCTCCGCCTCCAGCCTGCGCCACCGCACCGCTCGTTACTACTGCGCTCTACCCCTGGGACCCCGACATATCGTCTCACACGTCTACACACTGCCCTCTGCGCCCTCGGCGCGCGCGCGCAGCCCCGCGCTCTCCGCGCGCTGCTCCGCCTCCAGCCTGCGCCACCGCACCGCTCGTTACTACTGCGCTCTACCCCTGGGACCCCGACATATCGTCTCACACGTCTACACACTGCCCTCTGCGCCCTCGGCGCGCGCGCGCAGCCCCGCGCTCTCCGCGCGCTGCTCCGCCTCCAGCCTGCGCCACCGCACCGCTCGTTACTACTGCGCTCTACCCCTGGGACCCCGACATATCGTCTCACACGTCTACACACTGCCCTCTGCGCCCTCGGCGCGCGCGCGCAGCCCCGCGCTCTCCGCGCGCTGCTCCGCCTCCAGCCTGCGCCACCGCACCGCTCGTTACTACTGCGCTCTACCCCTGGGACCCCGACATATCGTCTCACACGTCTACACACTGCCCTCTGCGCCCTCGGCGCGCGCGCGCAGCCCCGCGCTCTCCGCGCGCTGCTCCGCCTCCAGCCTGCGCCACCGCACCGCTCGTTACTACTGCGCTCTACCCCTGGGACCCCGACATATCGTCTCACACGTCTACACACTGCCCTCTGCGCCCTCGGCGCGCGCGCGCAGCCCCGCGCTCTCCGCGCGCTGCTCCGCCTCCAGCCTGCGCCACCGCACCGCTCGTTACTACTGCGCTCTACCCCTGGGACCCCGACATATCGTCTCACACGTCTACACACTGCCCTCTGCGCCCTCGGCGCGCGCGCGCAGCCCCGCGCTCTCCGCGCGCTGCTCCGCCTCCAGCCTGCGCCACCGCACCGCTCGTTACTACTGCGCTCTACCCCTGGGACCCCGACATATCGTCTCACACGTCTACACACTGCCCTCTGCGCCCTCGGCGCGCGCGCGCAGCCCCGCGCTCTCCGCGCGCTGCTCCGCCTCCAGCCTGCGCCACCGCACCGCTCGTTACTACTGCGCTCTACCCCTGGGACCCCGACATATCGTCTCACACGTCTACACACTGCCCTCTGCGCCCTCGGCGCGCGCGCGCAGCCCCGCGCTCTCCGCGCGCTGCTCCGCCTCCAGCCTGCGCCACCGCACCGCTCGTTACTACTGCGCTCTACCCCTGGGACCCCGACATATCGTCTCACACGTCTACACACTGCCCTCTGCGCCCTCGGCGCGCGCGCGCAGCCCCGCGCTCTCCGCGCGCTGCTCCGCCTCCAGCCTGCGCCACCGCACCGCTCGTTACTACTGCGCTCTACCCCTGGGACCCCGACATATCGTCTCACACGTCTACACACTGCCCTCTGCGCCCTCGGCGCGCGCGCGCAGCCCCGCGCTCTCCGCGCGCTGCTCCGCCTCCAGCCTGCGCCACCGCACCGCTCGTTACTACTGCGCTCTACCCCTGGGACCCCGACATATCGTCTCACACGTCTACACACTGCCCTCTGCGCCCTCGGCGCGCGCGCGCAGCCCCGCGCTCTCCGCGCGCTGCTCCGCCTCCAGCCTGCGCCACCGCACCGCTCGTTACTACTGCGCTCTACCCCTGGGACCCCGACATATCGTCTCACACGTCTACACACTGCCCTCTGCGCCCTCGGCGCGCGCGCGCAGCCCCGCGCTCTCCGCGCGCTGCTCCGCCTCCAGCCTGCGCCACCGCACCGCTCGTTACTACTGCGCTCTACCCCTGGGACCCCGACATATCGTCTCACACGTCTACACACTGCCCTCTGCGCCCTCGGCGCGCGCGCGCAGCCCCGCGCTCTCCGCGCGCTGCTCCGCCTCCAGCCTGCGCCACCGCACCGCTCGTTACTACTGCGCTCTACCCCTGGGACCCCGACATATCGTCTCACACGTCTACACACTGCCCTCTGCGCCCTCGGCGCGCGCGCGCAGCCCCGCGCTCTCCGCGCGCTGCTCCGCCTCCAGCCTGCGCCACCGCACCGCTCGTTACTACTGCGCTCTACCCCTGGGACCCCGACATATCGTCTCACACGTCTACACACTGCCCTCTGCGCCCTCGGCGCGCGCGCGCAGCCCCGCGCTCTCCGCGCGCTGCTCCGCCTCCAGCCTGCGCCACCGCACCGCTCGTTACTACTGCGCTCTACCCCTGGGACCCCGACATATCGTCTCACACGTCTACACACTGCCCTCTGCGCCCTCGGCGCGCGCGCGCAGCCCCGCGCTCTCCGCGCGCTGCTCCGCCTCCAGCCTGCGCCACCGCACCGCTCGTTACTACTGCGCTCTACCCCTGGGACCCCGACATATCGTCTCACACGTCTACACACTGCCCTCTGCGCCCTCGGCGCGCGCGCGCAGCCCCGCGCTCTCCGCGCGCTGCTCCGCCTCCAGCCTGCGCCACCGCACCGCTCGTTACTACTGCGCTCTACCCCTGGGACCCCGACATATCGTCTCACACGTCTACACACTGCCCTCTGCGCCCTCGGCGCGCGCGCGCAGCCCCGCGCTCTCCGCGCGCTGCTCCGCCTCCAGCCTGCGCCACCGCACCGCTCGTTACTACTGCGCTCTACCCCTGGGACCCCGACATATCGTCTCACACGTCTACACACTGCCCTCTGCGCCCTCGGCGCGCGCGCGCAGCCCCGCGCTCTCCGCGCGCTGCTCCGCCTCCAGCCTGCGCCACCGCACCGCTCGTTACTACTGCGCTCTACCCCTGGGACCCCGACATATCGTCTCACACGTCTACACACTGCCCTCTGCGCCCTCGGCGCGCGCGCGCAGCCCCGCGCTCTCCGCGCGCTGCTCCGCCTCCAGCCTGCGCCACCGCACCGCTCGTTACTACTGCGCTCTACCCCTGGGACCCCGACATATCGTCTCACACGTCTACACACTGCCCTCTGCGCCCTCGGCGCGCGCGCGCAGCCCCGCGCTCTCCGCGCGCTGCTCCGCCTCCAGCCTGCGCCACCGCACCGCTCGTTACTACTGCGCTCTACCCCTGGGACCCCGACATATCGTCTCACACGTCTACACACTGCCCTCTGCGCCCTCGGCGCGCGCGCGCAGCCCCGCGCTCTCCGCGCGCTGCTCCGCCTCCAGCCTGCGCCACCGCACCGCTCGTTACTACTGCGCTCTACCCCTGGGACCCCGACATATCGTCTCACACGTCTACACACTGCCCTCTGCGCCCTCGGCGCGCGCGCGCAGCCCCGCGCTCTCCGCGCGCTGCTCCGCCTCCAGCCTGCGCCACCGCACCGCTCGTTACTACTGCGCTCTACCCCTGGGACCCCGACATATCGTCTCACACGTCTACACACTGCCCTCTGCGCCCTCGGCGCGCGCGCGCAGCCCCGCGCTCTCCGCGCGCTGCTCCGCCTCCAGCCTGCGCCACCGCACCGCTCGTTACTACTGCGCTCTACCCCTGGGACCCCGACATATCGTCTCACACGTCTACACACTGCCCTCTGCGCCCTCGGCGCGCGCGCGCAGCCCCGCGCTCTCCGCGCGCTGCTCCGCCTCCAGCCTGCGCCACCGCACCGCTCGTTACTACTGCGCTCTACCCCTGGGACCCCGACATATCGTCTCACACGTCTACACACTGCCCTCTGCGCCCTCGGCGCGCGCGCGCAGCCCCGCGCTCTCCGCGCGCTGCTCCGCCTCCAGCCTGCGCCACCGCACCGCTCGTTACTACTGCGCTCTACCCCTGGGACCCCGACATATCGTCTCACACGTTTACAGAGGTTAAAATACTGTTCTCAGTTGAAATATTCCCTCTCTTTTTGATGCAAGACGACTTCTAAAGACTGCGAACGCCCCAGGAAGCTTTTTGTGCGTCTGGAGAACAGCTTAAGGTTGGCTCACGTAGCCATCTCAATCAAACGCGTAAAGGACTGTTTTTTTTTAGTCTAAATGCAGAAACTAAAGCCACCCGATACTGAGTTCACGTGAGTAAACGAAAACGCGACTACACTAACTTGCTCATCCTCTGCTCGTAAAACATGCGCTGACTGTCAAGTTGTTGTGTCAGGATGTAGGTGAACTCTAGCTGTGCAGAGTCTAGCTTCTCCCCACCGCACGCCTCCTCGGACGCGAGCCCTCCCTCCGCAGCTACCAGTTTACCGTCCGCCTTATTTTGAACTAAGCGATGGACGAAATTGTCACCTGAACAAAAATATCTCATTTTTACAAACACTTTCGGTACAAAATTTCACAAACCCCTAAACACTTATTCTGCGTGAGCAAATAAAGAACCATACCTATAGCATACTAAAAAAAAATATCTGAATTTACCACGTTCTCTAGCTAATTTTTAATTCTTCCTCCACCTTCTTTTGCTAATCTTCAGATTTTTTTTTGGGTTTAAAGTATTAGAAAAGTAACTATTAATTAAAAGCACTCACCGGCGTAGTCCCATACTCGGTTGGATCCCAGCTGCAATGCATACGTGTGGTTTGATGCCAAGAAATGTTTTGCTGCGTGCCCACCCTCATATCTAAAACATAGTTTTATAGAAGAGTTAGTCATGTATGTTCCCCACACTAGATGTGTCGGAGTCGAACCGACCTAAGGTCATAGCTCATTAGAGCCACCCGACTTTACTTCCGCGTCATTGTCAAGTAATTATTATCTAAAAAAAAGTGTTTGATTAAAACAATTTATTGTTTTAAAACCATTACTAATGGTTAATTTTATTTCTGCTGTAGAATGACGCAGACGACAACGCAATGTATACTCAATGGTAACAACGCGGCGTCCACTCATGGACCACCTGTCGACAACGAGCGACGAGGTAGTGTCGGGTTGGTTAGGGTCTAATGAGCTATGACCTAATACCACACCACGGTATGCCCTGCCCTTTGAATAGGAAGGATCCGGAAATAGCTGTTATAAAGACCGGATAGTGAACTGACCTGCCACAACCAACATGTCCACATATCAAACATATCCATAGAGTACCAGCCTCTACACCGTCGAGAAGGCCTTCGACAACACCACTGATGTTTTCTCTGGTTTCATCACCGTCTTCCTCTGTGAAACATGGACGTTAAGTAAACACCAAGTTTTTACGCAAAATTCTAACGATAGATTCGGTACCAGCTTATTTTTGTAAATTGCTTGTTCTTTTTATAAAAAATTGCTTTGATTTAAAAAAAATATTATACAATCCTATATTACAGGGTCTTTTATGAAGAAAAATGACAAATCAAAAGCTTAACTAAATATCGGTCATGTTGGTTCTATAGCTCTAGACAGGTAATCATGAAGAATCATCAGATAATATATGTATGCACATACTGATTGAATTGACAAACCTGCAACAGTAGCCCGCTCACACTGGAAACAAGTGTTACCACCTCTCGGTTCCGGAGTTTGTGCACACCTGCACACTGGGCATCTTGCATCCCTCCATCTCACAAGGCACTCAGAATGGAAAGCATGAGCGCATTGTACGCTTAGCACTCCGGCTACACTTTCATCCATACGCTCAAGACAGACGGGGCATGTTGGTAACTCAGTGTGTGAAGGAGGAGGTGTTCCATCTCGAGCCCATTCTACGCGTGATACCCAAGCCATGTGACAAAGCGCATTGGGTTCCAAACTACTATAGGGAACTCCATCAAAGGTTTCATGGAACTCACGCGCAGCTTGATAGGTGCGGAATCTGTGAACAAGGGAGTCCGAATGATTACTAAAACTATCACTAAGAAAATGTAGGATGATCGAGAAAGTGTACTCTTAGCCCAGTGCCAAAATGTTTACTTAAATAAACATAGACTTACGTGAATAGAGCCATGTAGTGATCAGGGGAGCCATCCCGCAGCACTCTCACATGGGCAATATCTTGCTGACATGCAGCTGCAAATGCCAGTAGATCTGTAGCTCCTAGGGCACCAGGAACTGATAGCAGGCATAAGGTCTTAGCATCTGCACTTTCTTTCATTTCACTAAAATTGACAATAGTAATAGAGAAATATTAGAGTCACTATTATAATGGCTAAGAATTTTTACCATACTACTTTTTATTTCTAACAGTTGGTATTAATGAAATAAATACGTATATCAAAAATTGCTTCTTCTTTTCACTTACTTCTCTTTGTAAAGATGAATTACACCTTTTGTAACTTCTACAAGAGGATTTCCACAAAAGAAGCTTATGGTGTCATCATCTTCAGAAATACTGGTACTTTCAGGTGGAGAGCGCCGGGAGCTAGTGGGCAGGATACCTGAATCAGTGTTGGGACCTGTGAGGACACTGGCGTAGGTTTCTACTGTGATTGTTTTAGATTCCCGAGCTCCTCGGTCCTTCTTCTTTTGTTCTTTGGCCGCTTCTGTGGTAAATCAAATACAATAGTTTTAGGAAAAGAAAATTATTTCATGTTAAATCAGTCAGTCAGTTGGGTCTACTGGTTTTGGGCTTTGTATTAACAGTTAGTACAGGTAGCAACATTGCAGAAAATATTAGCTTGTTTCTTAAAGGGAAACTAATCAGATTCCACAAGGCACAAGGAAAAGTGATTTGATAATATAAAATGGCAAGGGATACCCCGACTCTCAGGTGAGAAACAGGCATCAACTGGCTTTATTATAAACATACTCCATTATACTTGTTGATGGGTATTGGTTGCATGCTCCGGTTTCTGCATTTAGACTCAAGAATGATCCTTTATGCGTTGAGGAAAGGTTGACTAGATAAGTCAGCTCCATCTAGAATCACAGAAGCCTCCTGGGGCATTCACAGGCTTCTAAGAGCGGTTATGTATCAGGTATGATACCCATTGAGTGAGAGAGAGTCAAGTCAAGTGAGTCATGTTGAGACTTTAGTCAGCACCAGTTTGGACTGTCTGCAGCCAGAGTTTTTCCACCTCCGGTTGTGTACTTCACAAGTTCTTTGTTAAGCCCAGGATCAAAGTTGGTTAAAAGGCAGTGGCAGTAGTATGCTTGGACCGGTAGTCGGAGTTGCCGAGCTGAGCTCCTCCTTGCCAACTCATCTGCTGCATTGTTCCCGTATGAATTACTGTACCCTTAGCTGCTCTAATGATTTTCTGGCTTTCAATGACAAAACCAGAGGTGACACCCTCTAGTGCCCTTAGGACGGCCGTGCCATCATCAAAAGACAATCACAATTTAAACACACACCACCGAGACAGACTATACCTACCACCATCAAGAATTAAAATGCTAAACCAGAGCCCTTACTACATGGCTGTAAAAATATACAACAAATTACCTATCCACATAAAAAATGAAATGAAGACTACACTATTAATTAAAAAACTAAAAGCATTCTTAATTACAAAATGTTTCTATTCTGTTAAAGAATACATTGAGGAAAAAAACAAGTACAAATCATAAAAAGAATAATCGGTCGTGATGCACGGAAATGCTAGGGACAGTAGGAAAATGTGTATATGTATTAGTGATGTAGAATGTCGGGTGCCTTCGTATTTTTGCATGGTTTGTTCGATTGGTATACTGTACTATTGAGTCACTTAATTTGTATTGTTCAAAAAATGCTTGTACTTGTGTAACAATTTATTCTTCTGCGTTCTCTCTCAAATTTTTGCAATGCCTGGAACAGGCTTCTAAGTTGGGACTACTACATATAATATTATAAGATCATTGATGTACACTTGGTTCGCAAATAAAGATTTGATTTGATTTGTTATAGTCCTTAATACACATTGACATGGAGGTTGTGGCAGCATGAGTTTTTACACACATTCATATTGGAATATGAAACTTTGTTGGCCTAATGCTGGTGATATATTCATGTTTAGGTCATATACTAGTTGATGTGAATCATTTAATGAGAAGGGTCAGACTAGCTGTTAAGGTGGCGTCATGTCGCCACTACACGTATCACCATTACGCATGTCATATATGACATTATATGTAACATGCATAATTGTCCTATTTTTATTATTTTTTTTCATAAGCTATCCTTTTATGATCTAACAATTTCAATGTTCACATCTTCCACACTACCGGCAACAACTATTTTTAACGGAAAAGGGGTGGGTTACCTGATAGAAGGCAACTACCGCCACCCATGAATGCTAGCAACTCAGGAGTCACAAGCATCTTGCCAGCCTTTGAGTAGGAGGGAGAGAAAGGAGTATGCTCTAAGGAGTTATTTGTGTCATTGTATAACTCAGTTGTCATTGTAAAAACATAATTTATTTGGAACAGTTTTGTTTTTTTAATCTATTTAGAATCATTGTTTAGAATAAAATTTGCATGGGTAATTGAACATAATATTAAATAACAATATCTCTGATGTTTCACTAGATTATGTAATGCTAGGAAGAGAGAAGGATTCCAACTATTGGCTTGTGCTCATTAATATAGAATATTCAATGGCCATATTGATATAACTTATATATGTTATTCATTGAATAACATATCACATCAACCGCCTTTAGAAAGGAGGCTTTGGCCCACTAATAACATCATAAAAACAAAAATAAGGTAAAAACTTTAAACGAAAAAAAAAACAAAGTTAAGTTTCTGTTGAAGTCAATGGTAAAGTTTCTATTAAAAATATTCTTTATTATAAATGCATTAGCAGATTATTTTTTATACCTATTTTAGATTCGGATTTTATTTATTAATAAAGCCTTAATTTAATTATTTGTAATTTTGGTTAAAATGGCTGAAAATGATTAAAGTTATCGATTGGTTTTACCTTGATGTTCATGCGATTTGCTTTGTCATTTTACACTTAAAGATGCAACGAAAACTCACGATTAGTAATATTTAATAATAGATTATTGATTCTTACCCACTTCAGCGGGATTGTCGCCCATTTCGGCTAGATCTTCGTCGATTTCTACACGCAAAACACACAAAGAGACGGACATTTACAATTAAATTATTAGTTCAAAATAAAAAGAAACAATTTGTTGATTTCGTCTTTACATTACTTTGCTCTAGCATTAAATCATTTACAATAAAACGCAGTGAACAGTAACAAATCTACAAACTAGGGAATTTTAGCAAACACAGCACAATCGGATGCAAATCAGATGATAATGGTAATAAATTCAGACAGACAAATAAAAATATTGTGGAGTAGAAAGAAGACTGAGACATCATATGCGAAGCATCTAGTGCTAAAAAGAGATGCAACAATAACTCCAATGACATTGACAGTATAGTTTATAAATAGGTACAACACAACAGGTACAAAATGTCTAGTCAGCTTTTCTTTTCAAACTACTCCTACGTGTAGATCCCAATCTTTCTACATTCCTACCTAAAAAGTTTCAAACATTATATCGATCGCATTCACCAGTTTACTCCCCAAGTCAAGCGTGCGTAAAGATTTACTTCAAATTTAAATTTTAAATATAATTATGTCATAAAAAAAAAATCTTAGAAATCGTCTTTTATGTAGACTGTCGTAGATCAACACACACACAATAGCAACAATCTCTGTTTAATAGTAAGGATTTTTTTAAATAAATATTAAGCATGTGCCGATTCACAACCGCCCATTTAAAGGGGTTTATGAGAAGAATGGGCAAACAAACTCATGGCCACTCTTTTGCAAATTAAAGATATACAATGGCAACATTAAATATACCACAACATTGTACCGATGTGTGCCAGTATGTCCGTTATTAAGGATTAGGTAAAAGACAAAAAGACAGTAAAGATAAAAATAAGATTAAGAAAAAAGATCAAATAAGTGAGAAAGTGAAGTGAAACATAAAAAATAGAATTTTCTTTAAAAAAAACCCTAGCCCATTTCCACTTAAGAAATAGCCTGCGCTAAATTATTCCAAAACATTTTTGTCTTCTATGTGTCCCAAATATCGGTTGTGGATAACTCCACAACCGATATTTGGGACACACCTGACATAATTTACGTTTCACTGCGGATTTAAATTTGTTAATTCTTCAGTTTTGAATACCATTTGGGATTTCATTATTGACCTCGAGACGACTTGTTTATCTTTTGGAGCCTAAGTAAGTCTTTTCTATTTCTGGTTTTATAGAATGTATCACTATGTTTCCAAAAGTTATCCTAAATTATTTTTATGAACAGATATTACATTTTCATATAAATATTTACCAGCATTAACCCACAGTAGAATACAGTACGACATTATGCTGTGAAAATAATCGAAGTAGATAAGTCGTGCTGTATCAACATCAGTCAACTTTAGATTTTTTCTTACTGTGTGTGCGGCTGAGCTGAGTGCACCTACTCGTCCTTTCTAGGGTATACCTGGTTCCCCGGCTATTAGTACCCGAGACGGCGTGCGGTTTTAGTCGGTTCGAGTCCGACATGCCACCGACAGGTGGTATCCGAGGGGATTTCCGCACGGGAAAAAAAAAAACGTGGACCTACTCGATAATTTATCAATGTGTGGGCCCAACTGTAACTTAGAATCTAGTGTTATACCTAAAAATGTCGTAGTATCCACAAGGTCCTACTCGATATCACAGTAGTTTTCACAGGCTTTAATCAATCATCAATCAATTAGATCTATCAATACCTATAAACCAAAATATCAAATAAAATGAAGACATACGCAATCGTTCAACAGCTTAATGTAATTTACTGAATTTCCAAGGAATCTTATGAACACGTCAGATTCATATGATAGTCAAGAATAATCAGGATATGTAAAATAGCATACACACACATCACATAAAACAGACAAGAATGACTAAAAACAACAATAATGTTATGTTGAATTTAACTACACTATTTTGTTCAGTATGTTTTTTTTGTTAAACCGTGAATCCTATGATAATTAGAATCTTTTAAGATTATTAAGATTTCATTTATGTAATTTACGTAATTTAGTGTCTCAATGTATTTAGTCATTCTTTTGAGGGAAAAGGGTTTTGAGAGGTAGAGAAAATGTAAGGGTAAATATTAATGTTAAACAAACTTTCGTAAATTAAAATTGGTATTAGTTCAATTTTTTTTGTTTACTACTTATTTGTTTTTCTTTAATCAAATATCTGGTTAATTACAAAGTATATTTAGCTACCAACTTGAGCTTATTTTAGCTAGTTTTCAACAACAAATTACACCATTATTCTGGTAGTCAAAGTTAACCCTTACCATTGTATTTCAGATATTTTTAAGCTGAAGACGTGTATCCGAACTACTAATCGGTAATAAAAAAAATATGATTATGTCGAACTGTCAGTGTACATTGCGTATTTGTTACACAGAAACTTAATGTACCATAATCGAAATACGCAATTGGATATAAGTTCTATTAAAAGTAGTTTCTAATTGGATCGGAAATATAAGTTTGAGAAAAAAATATTCAATATGGCTACAGATCATACGACGTGAGCTGTCAGCTGTAGTAACTTTTGTTTCTTTGTGTTTATTACGCCTTTAAAAATGTTATGATTACCACTTACTCGCGAATATGGGTGCGAAAGACTCGAAACCATCTTTTATATCATATGAGGATGCAGTGAAACGAGGTACGCGTGGTGTTCATAGTCGAACTAAGTGCGTTGTAGGAATGTGATGAATATCGGTTTATTTTATTTGCAGTGTCTGATAGTGAATTGAGACGTATACGGGAAGCATTCAAGAGATGTGCCGGTGCAAACGGTACAGCCTTGAGTTTGGAGGCGTTTGTCCACGAAGTGCTGTGCGATGGAGTTCCGTACGAGGTAGCGGAGTGGCTGTACCAGGCTTGCGGTGGGACGAAGAGAGGCATAGCCTTCCGGGAGCTGTTGTGTGGCATCGTAGTGCTCACGAAGGGTAACATCGAAGAAAAAATAAAGTGAGTAACATATCATAACTGTCCATTGTTACTTGTAAACAATTACATCACTAGATAACACACGATAATTTACTAGTGCGATTTTTCTACTCACAATGACTTTACGACGGACATAAACATTATCTAGCGAATCAGAATATTAAGTAGATTCGAATAATTACAGTCGCATTTTTTGAATTCAATGCAGTAGGTAACAGAATTGGGAGTCATTATCTTATAAGGAGTATTATCAAGTTGAGTGATATGTTTATTTAAATATGAATGTACATTGGTACATAATATGGTCTTGTTAGATTGCTTTTGTTATTTTCCTTTCATAAAGAATTTATTTAAACTAATATTTTGTCTTGACTGTTTTTTGAGGAACCCTAATTCTTTTGCCAAAATAATAAAATTTACATATAACAATATTAGCTGTAATCTGTTATCTGCTAACATAATAGTAGTAAGTGTTGTGTAAATTGGTCCACCCGTTCTAGAGATTAAAAAAAATAATTATACAGACAGATGAATATTTAAAATTGATTTTCAATAAAAGTACATTTAGATGCATCTAGTTAAAAAACTGTCAATATATATTTGTGCATAATAATATGTTGTCAACAAATTTTTGCATAAATAAAGATTATTATTATTAGTATTTGTGATAGATTTTATTTATTAATTACAGAGATGTATTTTATTGATTGAAGAAAACTATAACAAAATTTTAGTTTATCAATCTTATACAAATTTGTTAATCAAGCCATAAAAAAATGTCCTTCAGTGATAAAATTGTGAATTGTTTATTAGTTTTTAATAATTTTCATATCATTTTAGACATGTTACATTAATTGGTTATCTCTTTATTCAAATTAATAGTAAATTTAAAACATTGAGGAATATACATTATTGACACTGAGAATAAATATAACAACTAGTCAAGGTTATTGCTGTTTTATGTAATACACTACATATTTACTAACAAAAGTATAAATAAATTGAAACAAATAAATAAAATTGAAGTGTCTGTTTGTAATGTCAAAATAATAGCTTTTTTTTGTGCTCACAAGGTTATTTGCACCAGACCTCTGCCTTTAAACCAGTTTAAATATTTTTGTCCGTCTGCCGGTGTGTCTGTTTGTTCCGGTTAATCATCTTAACGGCTGTACTGATTTTGATAACATTTTACCACCAGGTAGCTGTCCATATGAGGAGTAAGCAAAATTTTATAGGGTTTTCCTAAGGGGAAAAATAGCCTAAGTTAGTTCTTATATAGACAGCTACCTGGTAGTAAAATATTATCAAAATTGGTCCCCCCGTTTTGAAGATAACCTGGAAGAAATAGACAGACAGATAGCACAAATTTTAAAACTGGATTTTAGGCATAGGTATCATACAAAATAACCGCATAAGCAAAAAAACACCTATTATTTTGACATTACAAACAGATACTTCAATTTTATTTATTTGTATAGATATGTGTAATTTTTTTTAATATGTAAGTGTGTGTGTATTTATATATCTGTACCTATATTTATTTATTTAAACACACTGATGATGATACCACGCTTTTTTTAAATAGTAAACTTTAAGATTTTTTAACTAATTACACCCATAACTTTTTGAGTACCATCCTCTGTTTGACATTGTTAAACCATTGAAGTAAAATATATACTTACTAGGATTTGCCTGCGGCTCCACCCACATGTAAAAGTTCGTGTTTATTGAGATATGTTATTACTTACTAAATTAATAGTTAACCCTTTCTTTGAGAGCACAGCCAGAGACTTTAAAAATAGCAGATGCTTTTATTTATTTATTTAAATCTTTATGCACAAATGTGGCAAAGGCGGACTTAATGCCGTAGGCATTTTCTACCAGTCGACCTTAGGGTGATACAGAGCTTTTCCTATATTGAAAAAAAAGTTTAGAAAATAAAACCCCTAAAAGCTAAACAAAAAATCTAATAGATAAATATCTCGTGTCACGGTGTTTGTGGTAGCACTCGTCTGAAACGGCTTGATAGATTTTAATGTTTTTTTTTTGTAATTAAGTAGATGTGAGAGTAGGTTGAAAAGGATTTTTCACCCTCCTGTACCCATCCACCATTTTTTAATCGCGATTTTAAATATATGACAGAAGAATAAGAGATTGTTGCTATTGCGTGTGTTACTATTCCTGTTATTTATATATTTAGAAATAAAGGATTACTCGCAGATCGTATAAAGTGCATTAAGCCTAACCGGAATAAAGGCAATAATAATGCAAACAAAAGTTTACGTCAAATCTGTCTGAAAAGTAAAAAGCGTGCTTTGAAAAATGAGCGCGAATTTTTACGTACCTAATTGGAGCTTAAATATCCGGCATTTGGGTTTATGCTTTCTTTTAGTATGATAAGTTGTTGAATATTCCCACTCTTCTCCTTAATTGGGTTTCCCTGGGGGCGGGGGCACTCAAAAGGCGGGCACTAGTGATGGAGATTAATACTACCTACTTTTAAATAAGTGTAAAGTGATTTTGTACTTTAGTCCCAGGTGTGATGCATTGGTGAAGTGGATTTACTGTATTTCCTCTCCTCCAATTTTCTTCTGATTAATTTCGTTGCGGGTTCCAAGACAGTTTAATTTCTTCCTGGGACTTCCCGAGTGTCATAACTCGGTGTGTTCGTGGGACACTGCTGTGGATCCTGGTGTACAGGAGTTACAGTGGTGGGCGTGTGGGTGGGATTAGTAAAGGTGTGATGCATGATTTTAAAATCATATGATTTATCACAAGTAACTAAAGGTCATTTTATTCCATCCCTAGCGTCAACGTTCGTGTATCCGTGGGTGCCGGTAGTCACTTATCACCAGTTGGTCAGTCTGTTCGTTAGCCTCCTACAGGTAAATTAGCTTGGAGAAATTTTTGCGTTTGTAGTAGTGTATGGTACGGACAGCGTAAACTGGTTTATTCTGGTTTTGTGCGTGTTTCCACTTTCCACTATCAAGTGACGATTTTTTGCTTAAGATTGAAATATCTTGGAAACGGTGCGTCCTAGGCCAAAAATAACAAAAATTTTGACCCCCCCGTAGACCTCCCGGAGTTTTAAAAACCTAGATGAAAGGAAAAAGAAAAAAAAAAATTTTAAATATCGGTCTCTCCTCTTTGAAGTTTCACTTCTATCGTGTGTGAATCACACACACACCTTTTTTTTTATAAAGTCAAAACCTTTTTCTTTAAAATAAAAACTTGTTTTTATTGAAAACAAAAATCAGAGTGTTGCTAGGGATAAGTATAAAATTAAATAGTAATGTTAGGATATCGAAACATTTTTGTATAGGCCAGAACGATATAGTGGAAACGCGCTCTAAGATCTGAGTAATATACACACCACTACATATGCAAAAATTTCTAGAGACTAATTTCACTGTATTTCATTTAAAAAAAATACTACTCTGTATGCGAGATCTTATTAAGAACTCGATATGTGTGGTGTTTTCACGATATTTTTCATGGTCAACATCGAAATATCGGATTACTCGCAGATCGTAAAAATTGCATTAAGCCAAACCAGAATAAAGGCAATCATAATGCATTTTGGTTAAATCAACGAAATTCAAATCGACTATATTTGGTTCGTACTTAGGCAGGATGTGTGGTTGGCTATTGTGCCAAAACATACATATGAAGGTCAAAATATATTATAAAAGCTATATTTATTGTTGTAACCAGTATACTATTTATTTAGTAATTCAACGTATAATCATAATGTACGAGCTATCTCCCTCTGCGGCATCTCTTATTTCTTTTTCGTATTTCTAACTTTGAAAATGATGAAATTCCATACAACCGTTAATCCCTTATTTTACCGCCTTAAGGCCTTAAGAATTTCCAAAAATCCTTTCTTAGTGGGTCTAAATCGGTTTAGGGTCTGCTTCTATGAATAAGTCTGTCAGGGCAAATTAATTCATTATTTCATATCTATAGGTTATAGATAATATGAAGTATCATCATCAGCCTATCGCAGTCCACTGCTGGACATAGGCCTCTGCCATTGCACGCCACTTAGATCGATTTATTTATAAATAATAATTGGTTCGAATCCTGACCAGTACACTATCGACGTGAACCCTCTCTCCTAAAACAAGCAATTTAGCCTAGCTGGAAGGGTTAACTGGAATACTAGTAATTTCGGTTGCTAATAAGCCTTTAAAAAAAATGGAAAAAATAAAAGAAAATCGACGGCGAAGTGCTATATCTTCATAACTAAGGTTTTTCGGGTAATTCACTTTTTAGCCTTTAAAAAAACACTTATTTGCATGTTTTAGTAAAATTCACCGGGGCTATTTTAGTTGCGACAGCATTAAATATGTGAATGTACAAATATCTCCCAATTAAAAAATAACTGCACACAATTAACACACTGTCATAAAATAATTAAAAAATAATAAGTAAACAGCTTTTGACTTGTCAAGTAATTGAAAGGTTTCCAAATCTGTAAATTTTTGAATTCGTATTTAATAAAAAAAAATTCTTGCTGATTTCAAGCACAAGCGGCAAAACATAAGCGATATCTATACAAATAAATAAAATTGAAGTGTCTCTTTCTAATGTCAAAACAATAAAAAAAAATTGTCTGTCTGTTTGTTCTGGTAATCTTCTAAAAGGCTGGACCGATTTTGATTATATTTTACTACCATGTAGCTGTCTATACAAAGAGTAACTTAGTATATTTTTCCATTCAGAAAAGTTTATAATTTTTTTCCCGGTCTGGCAATCGAACCCACAAAGGCTGCGCTTTTCAAATTCCCGCCGAACGAAGTCGCGGGTACCAGCTAGTATAAAATAAAACTTTGTGTGTAGCTAATTTGTAACTAATTAGTAGATCAGCACTCAAACAGTTCAAGAAAAGACCTTCAAGAAAAGAGCGTACTCCAACCTGAACGGCTGGCAATGCGTTTGTGACTCCTGAGTTGCAGACGTTCATGGGCGGCGGTTCATCATCACATCAACAGCCTTTAATAGTCCACTGCTGGACA